GTTCAGCAGTCTGTCCGACTGCAGTTTGGTCTCCAATATAAACAAATTACACAACTGAACTAACAGTTACACTTAACACACTTTACACTGACCCACATTCACTTTTATTTTAATGCAACCAGGTACTGAGCCAAAGGATCTTGTTGCTCATGGAAATTTTTATTTTTTCCCCCTAATTGTTTAGAGAAATGCAGAGTCAGCAAAAGGGGCTGAACCAAGAGAAAACCCACTGTTTCCAGAACAGATACAATACAGCTGGGCACAGCACAATGTGTTCCCACATGGTGCCTTATGAAGATGTTTCACCAAAGTGAAGGGAGGTGGGAGGAACTTGTGCTGCTGCTGCTGCTTACACTGTGACTGTTCTAGGTCTAAACAGAGGGCTTCAAAGTCTGCAGGTGTGTCACTCTGGCAGCTGTCAACAGTGCTAAAATTCACTCCAAAAGAATTGTGGCAGTGAAAGTTCTTGGGAGAAAAGAGAACTAAAGAGAACTCGTGGCTGGAGCTTATAGACATGAAGAGTCTTCAGTATAACAACAGATGAACTATTGAGCTACTAACTGTGAAAGGAAGGAGTTTAAAGAATGGGAAGGAGAAGAGAACTCTGCTCTTTTCCAATCAGGTTGCTCTTACCAGCTGATACTTTCTATTACCAGTCTGAATCAGAGTGTTCCCAACTTCTTAGGGGGCCAGTCTGGATTAAAAGTTTGCTATGCAAATAAAGTGGCCGCATCGGGTTAGAGTAGTACTAGTACTGCATGTATTTTGGAAAGACAAAACCTCATTTTCCCTGGGCTGAGTTCTAAAACTCACTCAACCCACATTTCCACTCTTAAACAGCTGACCTAATTCTAGCTAAATGAAAGTACCTTCATCCTCCTCAAACTGAATGTTGACCACTTTCATCAATAAAAATTGCCATTTATTGAGAGTAATACTGTAATATTATCAATTAGTGACGAAAATAAAATATTCCCTAATCACTTTATTCCTGAATTTCTAGTGCATCAGTTACCTTGTCAAGGAAGAATCCAGAACCATGAGACTTTACCCACTGCAACAAACAACATAAATAGCAGACAAACACAAGCTGAAAATTATTTGTCTAAAGAATTTGGAATACATTTGTAAATAGGAAATATATTTAAAGAATGCAAGAATGATCGGTGAATTGTTTAGTGATCCTAAAACAAAATTATTTATTACAACTGAACTAAATATGGACCAGCACTTAATTTTCCTTTAAGCAAAATATCCGTTCTAGTATCAACCAGTTCTATTAATTGCTTGTTTATTTGCTTTTGCAGTGTATACCCAGTCTCCTGTAAGTAGTATACAGTATTGACAGTAATTTAATGTGCTGTGTTGTAATAGTGTGTCTGAGGATCTGGTATTCTACTCCATCAAACTTCTAGGAACCTTTTTAATTTCCTTGAAACTAATTTGGTGACAAAATACCTGACAGCAATGTTTTCCAGCAGTCACTTTAGATAACTGTGGAAAGTTATGCAATTCTAAACCAGATAGAAGATTCAGAGTGAGAATGCCAGTGTGTTATAAAAGATTCAATCATGAAGCAGAAAGGAATGAAAAATGATTTTTCATGAGAGAACCGTGTTTGTACAAATTTTCTTGTTTGTGTACTGTCAGGCTAGATCTGACTTTCTCAGTTGAGTCAGCTCCCCAGAATTCATGGAAGAAATAAGCCTTAGTTTCCTCATTGTGAAGCCAGCATAATATGTTTGAAAAGCAGTTAGATCCTAGTTCCATAAATCTCTAATATCTCAGTGATGAGATCATGTATGTGTAACCCTACAGGGATGTTTAAAGGATTCTAGGTGGATTCTTTGCATTACTTGGTCAATGATCTAGAAATCTTCCAAATTCCAAAGGGAGTGTAAAATGAGATCATGCAGGTAACCAGGTAAGGCCTGTTTTTCTGTTGGTTTTTTATATATGGGTTTTATTTGGTTTGGGTTTTGGTTCTGGGTTTGGTTTTTTTTTTCTCCTTTTATGCTGATATTAAAACTTCTGTTTATTATACTTACTGCAAGTAGTTTTAAAATAGTATAAAATCCATTGAGTCACATGGAGTCGCCCCTTATCTACAGGCATTCAAGAAGAGAATCATATTGAAAAGGTCAGCCTGACATTCACCAGTAAGGAATTTAGTCAGGTGTTTTATTATGTGAAACATATTTCTTTGGATTCTTTTTTCAGTAATCACAATATTTAAAGGTAAAGTGGAAGAAGTTGAATTACCTGTGGATAAAGTAGACATCATCATCAGCGAGTGGATGGGTTACTGTCTGTTCTATGAGTCAATGTTAAACACAGTCATCTTCGCACGAGACAAGTGGCTGGTAGGTGCTCTGCATGCCATACTCCTTGCTGGAGCAATCATCATTTATTTTCTGACTACAAGCTTTCCCTCTCCTACTGTCACCATAACAAGACACAGTTACAACTCCAAGTGCCTTTTCTTAGGTTTTAACGAAAAGATTAACAAAGGGAATCTCAGTGAAAGAACTTTGCTTTTGATTAACTGCTGAAGTTCATATAGACACTATCTAATGTCATTGCCACAGGCTGCAAGAGTTGCTGAGATTAAAGCTGATGTGACAATCTGAAGGAAAACAATAAAGGCATGCAAGGGGTGCTTGTCTGGTTTTTGTATGTGCAGTTCAAAATGTGATGTCTTTGTCAGGTGAATAGATTACGAGATCCATTTCCCCACAATTCATCAACAGAAACCTGGAGGGCTAATGTTTCCAGACCGAGCTGCTTTGTACGTGGTAGCAATTGAAGACAGACAATACAAGGACTTCAAAATTCACTGTAAGTTAACACATGATAGTAATCATTTTCTATGGTTATTTCCCTAATATTTGATTTATAGTGGCCAACGGTAATCTTTTCACTGGCAAAGTTTTGCAAAAGCTAAGAAATCACACTAACCAGGCCAGAATTCCAATATAAATGTGAACATTGAGAAAACTCTGGTCTGGTGATAAATTCAGGAAACTTGCAGTAATTTAAAGTGTGCTAAGGAAAGATGCATGAATGAATTGATGTAGACCGTGCTTAGAGTTATATTGATACCTCTACTTCTATTTTAAAATGTGGATTTTAGGAGATTTAGTTTTATTGTTGTTTTGATAAATACATCATCCCACATAACTGCCATTAAAATTGGGAACATTCTCTTGCCATCCAGGTGCTGGGTTTTGTTTTTAAAACAACAAGAACAGAAAAATTAATGAGATGCAAATGAGTTGTAAATGTTAAGAAATAAGCCCAGAAGAAATGATATCTCACTAATAAGCTTGTCAAGAACAAAAAAAAAAACACATTCCTTTTTTAACTTTTAAAAACTATGTAAGAATTTTTAAATGAAAAATAAGGATCAGAAATTTCCATTTTACTTTGATGTGAAAAAAGTTCTAAACTTTTTTGGTTTACTTCATAGATGCATAAAATTGACTTTTGCTTTACATTTAAAATGGTTGGGATTTTTTTCCTTGAAGTTTCATTGACTAACTGGTGCTGTTAGTGACCTCTACAGGTCACCTAGTCCAGCCTCCTGCTCAAAGCAGGCCAGATTTCACAGTTAAAGCCTGTCACTCTTGGGCCTTGCCCTGCAGAGTCAAGGGATGGGGATTCCATAGCTTCTCTGAGCACTTGTTCAAATGCTGAAGCACCCTCAGGAGTAAACATGTTTCTGAATATCCAGTCAGATTTTTCCTTGCTGAAACTTGCCTTCATTGTCCCTTGTCACCTGAAGGGAATATGACTTTTTCTTTGTTTCTGTAGCAGCAGGTAGCAGCTGATAGCAACTAGATCACACCATTAGCCTTTGCTGTCCCAGGCTAAGCAAACCCAGTTTTTTCAGACACTCATCATGTCTTAGCATGTGATTCACTTTCATCACCACAAAGTCATACTCCTGGTTCACATTCAACTTGTTGTCCCCCAGGTCATCCAAGTTTGGATTTATTTGGTCATAATAGTTTTGATGAAATGAGCAAGTTCTACATTATTACACTTCTTTAATTTTTTTTTTTACTTTTATTTATTTTTCAGAGCTCGTCAATTTCACTTTAAGTGAAATGGCATTTGCCATTGGAGGAAAAAAATCATAAAATTCCTAACCAGTTTTATTAATTAAGGATACATAGAATCATAGAATCGTTTAGATTGGAAAAGACCTTTAAGATCATCCAGTCCAACCATTAACCTACACTACCAAGTCCACACTAAACCAATCAAGAGTGGACTAGACTAAACCATGTCCCAAGGTGCCACATCTACCCGTTTTTTGAACACTTCCAGGGATGGTGACTCCACCACCTCTCTGGGCAGCCTGTTCCAATGCTTGACTACCCTTTCCGTGAAGAAATTTCTCCTAATATCCAATCTAAACCTCCCCTGGCGCAGCTTGAGCCCATTTCCTCTCATCCTATTGCTAACTACGTGGGAGAAGAGACCAACACCCGCCTTGCTACAACCTCCTTTCAGGTAGTTGTAGAGAGCAATAAGGTCTCCCCTCAGCCTCCTCTTCTCTAGGCTAAGCCACCCTAGTTCCCTCAGCCGCCCCTCATAAGGCCTGTGCTCCAGACCCTTCACCAGCTTTGTTGCCCTTCTCTGAACATGCTCCAGCACCTCAATGACTTTCGTGTATTGAGGGGCCCAAAACTGGACAGAGTATTCCAGGTGCGGCCTCACCAGTGCTGAGTACAGGGGGACAATCACCTCCCTTCTCCTGCTGGCCACACTATTCCTGAGAAAAGCTTGGGTAAAATTAGTGGGTTCAGTCTTAAAATGCCTACCTCCTCATTGCTTGCCTCTCAGCTCCTCTCAGAAAAGAAAGTCTGGTGTTTCTGTAATCAAATTCAGCGCCAATACACAGAATTGCCAATGGGTCAAAACTGCTATTTGGGGTCAAAACTGCTGTTTTGGGTCAAAAGCAAGCCCAGTGCAGTGCGGCAGTGACAAGAGATCTGTGTAGGTGTCAGGGAGAATTATATCCACTCCTTAAGCACAGCTTGGATTTTTCTCCTCAGTTATGTGATGACCTTGACAGCTAAATTCCTTACAAAATTTGCAGATTCAAAAGAATGTATGAGGCTTCCATTCTGTAGAGGAATCAAAGCCATTTTGGCCTAAAAAAAAAAAACCCTTATGCCTTCTTTCACCTTGCTTTTGAACTTCTTCCTTTCTAGGCCTTGAGCTTTTTTCTTTTCTCACAGACAATACACCTGTTTCTAACCCATTTATTTTTTCATCATTTAAAAAAAACTGGTTGGGGTTCTTTTTCTCTTCTAAAATGTTGTTTTCCTTTAAGACACTTTCCTTTCTGTTTTCCTCACCTCTGTTTTCCCTTTCCCCCTCACTTTTTATACCTCTATGTCTTCAGTTATTTCTGTCTCACTACCTATCTGCACCACCATCTTGTCTCTCTTTTCAGTTTATAAATCCTCGATGGTGTCTCCTTACATTTCAATTTTTCATCTTTCTTTTTTCTCTCTTAAGGTGGATAGAGTCTTGCCTTCATATGAGATGCAGGGCTGAGCATTTCAAAGGGCACTCAAGAAACATCATATTAATTAAGAAATAATGCAATATGAGGTTTCTAAAAAAAATCTGACTTCTGATTTCTCAAACTTTACTAATGCCACAGAGTACTACTGTAGTAAATTACTCTGATATCCTGAAAATGTAAAACATACAGTATCCTGCAACAGGTCTCTGACTGATACAGACTGTGGCATATATTTCAAAAGCATCCCATATAGGCTGAAGTACACCAAGTGATGGAGGCCCCAACAACTCTGTTAATAAATTGTTCCTTCAGGGTTTCCTAGTTAATCTTCTGAGTAACCACGTAAAAACATATGGCTTGTATAAATATAATCTCAAGTTCCCACATGCTCATGATGCCTGAAACAAAAGGTTTGATCACCAGCTTCCCTGAAATATTGAGAAACTCATAGTCCAATAAAGAGATAACATATCAAAGAACTGTTTGTGTCCAGATTTGTTCCAGTTTAGAAATATGCAGATTTTTTGCTCATACTACATTTTCAATCAGAGTCCTCTGGGAACACCAGTAGCTCAAATGCTGTGGTCTGAAAAAACAAGACATTTCATACATACTCAATATTGCTGTTTATCAGTTTACCTTACTTGTGTTCAAACAATTTTTTAAAAAGTTCACAGTATTCCATTTAGACTTTCAGTTGGAGCACTGAATGGACCATGACTCATATGATTTGTAAGACTAACATTTCACTTTTTTTGGAGGTTTTTGTTTTCATTTTGTTTTCATTTGCAATCTTAAAAGCAAAGCCAGTGTACTTTTCAATGTTTCAATGTTTTCATTTTGTTCAAGAAAAAAAAAAGAAAAAAACACCTCAGCAAGATAAGAAGCATTTATTGAAACAATCAGAAGAACAGTTCAAATATAGAAGACCAGCATGGCTTTCAAATCTTTTAGAAAGTGGGCATTTTGCTTTTTTGTCATGATGTACATGCAGATGAAAACTTGGATGCCCCAATTATTGAAACACACCTGTAATTCTACTCCTGTCAGTAATTCACTTGCTGAAACTAAGACTACTTAAATAATTAAAAGGACATGCAAACTGCTTATTGAATAACAATCTATAAGAAAAGGCAGTATTAACCAGAATGGATAGCAAAGGATAGAGTAATCTCTAGCAGCTATTCCCAAGTCTCAACCTGGCATATTGTATGATTTTGGGCAACACTCTCAAATGTCTAAAGCCATGAAAATCATCAACAAATCTCATATAACACAGTTTTGGGGACACCAAAAAACAAGGGTCACTTGTTCAAAGACCCTTGTTTAAACTTGTTCATTGAGGGATTATTTTGCCACAACTGCATTATCTGTAAAATAGCAATGATGACATAGACAACTGGGGCAGGGAGCAAAGAGCTAAAGAGGAGAGATGAAAGTTAGGGGATGGTAGAAATTCTTTCAAATGAAAGATGCATTGAGAAACAAAAAGTATTTTTATTATTACTGCTAATCTCTGACACATGCATTTGCATTGACAGGGTGGGAGAATGTGTACGGCTTTGACATGACCTGTATTAGGGATGTTGCCATGAAGGAGCCTTTGGTGGACATAGTAGATCCAAAGCAAGTGGTGACCAATGCCTGTTTAATAAAGGTTTGGTAATTCCAAATATACCTAATTATGAATGTTTACACCTAACTTTAGGATTCTTTGGAGACCTGCTGCTTATGTTTTACAACTATCTTTGTATGCTTCTAACTAGCAGAAGCCATCATCATAGAATGCTATCACACTAAGAAGGAAAATTGTGCAGTTTTAAATTAGTCAGTACTAGTATGTTGCACATGCCTAATACTGTCGCCTGAGCTAAGCGTGAACGTTGATACCTTGATCACTTATGGAATAACCAAAAGCAAGATGCTCCTTGTGACTCTGTACTCATCTGGCTACTGCTAATTGTAACTTAAGACTCTTACAAATTATACATGTGCCAATACTGGATAAATGGAGACATGGTATATTTAGATACAAATTTTAATTGCCCTACCTTCTTGAAAATAGAGGTTGGAAATTACTGATGGAAGGCTGCTGAGGAGAAGGGGTACATTAATTCTGTTTGCAGTAAAAAAGACTGAAGCAGCAGTTTCTGAATTGGTCAGCTCTGATGAAATAACTCCAATTTACTCTAGAGAGTGAGATCAGAATTGAAACCTAATTAATTTGTATAACTTCCTAATCCTTAGCCTTATCCAGAATCTTACTGTGCTCTCCCAGCCCCAACATCTGCAGCCAGAGGTTAGCTTGCACCCTGTTTTACATGTAAGACAGAATGGTCACTACTCCCTGTTCACAAGACCAGGTTCCATAGCCTGCAGGAACACATGAAAGCTCTAAAATTCCTTCCATGTGAAGGCATCCTCCTCATGTGGTTCTACTCTGTAGAATAAGGCTGTCCACATCAATAGCAGTGGTAGGATCAGGTCCATGAATCCAAGAGTGTGCTCATTTATCCCAAAGACTCAGTTCTAGTTTTTCCCTTCCACTTTTTGCCCGTAACAAACCCAGCATTAAGTATTCCCATATGCAAAAAGGAAAGACATACCTTTAGTCTGCAGAACCTTTACTGAGAGCAACAAAAAAGAAGTAGAAACTCTGTGTGAGTACGTATGCATGCACAGTCCCTCTGCACTGAGGGGAATACAGGATGGTTGTGTCTGAAAACAGCCTGAGCCAGAGCAATTTAAAATTGCAATACACACAAAATAAACAGCTATTTAGGCTGCATAAAATACGTTTGGAGAGTGAGAGATCAGGTGGCAAAATGGGTTGGCTTCTCTGGAATAAGAAGTTATAAAAGCCGCATGCCCTTCAATGAAGTGCAAATCTAACACTTTCTTTAGAAGGTCTTTGAAAGTAATTGGGTTTAAGAAGACAGACAAAATTTTTCAAACTGTTCTTATTCAGGTTTTAGATTTAATTCTACATGGCCTGACATCTTTTGTCCATACACTGAATGGTGCTTTACCATGTGATGGCACCTTGGGAGCAAAGTGGGTAATAACTACACAAGCAGAAACCACTCTCAATTCCAGAATCTGTCCCTAATCTCACAAACTGATCACTAAAAAAGAGAAAATTTTAAATGAAAGGCAGGAAGAAGGGAAGCTTTTGTTCAAGCTAGCAATATAGAAGCAGGAAAAACTGAGGCTGCATTTCTTTTTTTTTAATTTAATTTACTTTTGCACATGGTTTTATTTATATAAAGTGCATTTCCTTGATCCTGAAAATATTTGTGAATTCAGAGAATATTAGCCTAAGAAAACAATTGAGAATTAACAAAGCAATAATTTTTAATTATTGAAATGTTTTATTATAGCATTTCAAGATGGCACAGCTTATTCATATCGCAAAGGGATTTTTTTAGGGGTGTATTTAACCCAAACCCAGCTAACTTAGGGTGCCTAACAGATGAGTCTGGGTTCCCTGTCAGTAGATGGACTAGTCACTAGATGCATTCCTAACAGACCAGTCAGAACCCTATGCTTCTGCAGTTATTTCAATTCCCAATTTAGATGCTCTAAAGTGTTCTACAAAATCAGCAAAATAAGACATCAACCCCTGCATGCTATGTAACCATGACACTAATCTAGAATGCTGGAGACTTGAGTAAAATTTCCTTATTTCTACTCTTCAGAAATTGGATGCAACCAAAGTCTTGAACCCTTCAAGGAACTCTAGCCACTAAGCCACAGGTGCACTGGGGGCAGTGCATGCAGGGAATACAGCATCTTCTCTGTTGTGGAAGCAATTCACTTTTGAACAATCTCTTAAATATATCCCAGGGGCATAGGAATTTTCTTGGCAAGTAGGAGTCCTCTGTTTAAATTCCAAACCAGATCAGCCAGGGAGGATAGTGGGACCAAACCACCAGAGTCAATAACTGATTTCAGGAAAAGTGTACAAGTGTCCTCCTGAGCACCTACTGCTTTCAGTAACATAGCCTGAAAAAATGGAAAGGTTTGTTTCAAACTCAGTAAAACAGTTGTGTTTTCTTCTCTAATCCCCTTGCATATTAGAGAAATACAAATGGGTTTGGGTTGACCCGAAACTCTTTTCTCTATGTTAATTGTGATTTGGTGTCAGCACCAGAGACTACAATAACAATAAATCAGTTGTTCACACAGCTGTAGAAAAACCTGCAATGAGAGAGTGGCTAAAACTCACAACACCAAACAAGAATCAAGAACATGCCACATCCAGTTTATAATAAAAAATACTGTTGGACTTCCCTGAATATCCTCCCCTATCCAGCTACAGAGAAAGAACAAAGAAATAAATATGCCTTTATGCTCCCATTTGTCCCACACTTTCCAGGAACAGTTTAAAGCTCCTGCAGGTCACACACCACTTTAAGATTACATAGTTTAATGCTACTTAAAGCACAAACTGCCTTTCCTGCACAAAAAAATTTATGCAACGTTCTTGTTTATCAGAGAACATAGCATAATAGCAAAAAAGCATTGACCCAAATGCTCAAATATCCAGTTCTTTGAGAAATTTCCGCTGTTTTGGAAATATCATGATTCACCTGTATGAACTCTTATTTCAAAGGACTTGCAGAATTTTCTGTGAGGCACTTGTCTGTGAGCTTCAATGAGTTCCATGTTCTTCTTCCATCTTGACCCATGAGGTTTAGGACATGGCATTCCTCATGAGACTATTCTCTTGCTCCCCTGCAACTTCAGTGAACTCCCTAATCACATTCCTTTTGGAAATATCATGATTCACCTGTATGAACTCTTATTTCAAAGGACTTGCAGAATTTTCTGTGAGGCACTTGTCTGTGAGCTTCAATGAGTTCCATGTTCTTCTTCCATCTTGACCCATGAGGTTTAGGACATGGCATTCCTCATGAGACTATTCTCTTGCTCCCCTGCAACTTCAGTGAACTCCCTAATCACATTCCTTTCGTAGAATCATAGAATCGTTTAGGTTGGAAAAGACATTTAAGATCATCCAGTACAACCATTAAACGAACATTACCAAGTCTACCACGAAACCAATTAAGGGTAGAGTAGCAATTTCATGTTTCCTGGCTTGGTGGCTGGATTATTTGTAACGAAAGTAAAAACTAGGAATCATTAAGGTTGGAAAGGACCTCTAAGATCATCATTCCAATCATCAACCCAACACCATCATGCCCACTAAACCATGTCCCAAAGTGCCACGCCTACCTGTTTTTTGAATGCTGCCAGGGATAGTGACTCCACCACCACTCTGGGCAGCCTGTTCCGATGCTTGACTACCCTTTCCGTGAAGAAATTTCTCCTAATATCCAATCTAAACCTCCCCTGGCGCAGCTTGAGCCCATTTCCTCTCATCCTGTCGCTAACTACGTGGGAGAAGAGACCAATACCCGCCTCGCTGCAACCTGCTTTCAGGTAGTTGTAGAGAG